CATAGTCTTCTGAATGATAGTTTGCCAATAGAAAAAATTATGAACAATATGAAGGACCAACATTTCTCAAATATCTTGGGCACCTCAATGATATTTCTATAGCAGAACTTAGGCTCTAGAAGCTGTGTTAGATGTTGCCATAGGTTAACAGTTGCTGTGAATACAGTAACAGTACTATGGCATGTCTTTTTCCAGGCAAGTTCGTAACCTACTTAACCAAGTTTTTTGTTTATTTGTTTTCAAACCCATTTTTTTTAAGAGAAAAAAATGAGGGAGAGGGTAAAGAGGAAGAGGTGAGGGGGAATGGAAACATTTGACATATGAATCATATCTCATGTTAATTAGTAATTGCTAATAGAAAATTAGTAGAAAATTAACACTTAATTGTTTCTTTTCAGATAATGACTAACACCTTTCCACTAGTTATTTGGCTAACACTATAAATTTTCCAGAGTACTTTTACTTTCTCATTTTATTCACAAAATATCTTTGTCAGATTGATAAAGTACCTTTTTTTTGATTGATAGGTATTGATACTCAGAGATAGTCACTTGCCCAAGATGACATGACGAGTAAGAGGTGGATTGGGAACGTCTGCAATGACAGAGGCAGCTTGGGAAAATTTTGGCCACTATTTCATATGTTTTTCATTACATTGTGCTCCTTTAACTATTGTGGCTGGAATGTGACTGTTGGAATTTTATTTTATTTGTAAAATAAAATCTAACGGTACAAAACTGATGGTGTCTTCTGCAGCACCAGAAGATGAAACTCAGGGTATTAGAAATTGACATTGGTCTTCAGATAGTTCAGCTGATTCAATCATAAATTAACTTGTAAGATATAATGGTCAGGTAAAATCAAGAGCAAATATATTCTTCATGCATTAAGTGATACTTCTCTGGTAAGCACAAAGAAAACTGGGAGAGACTAATTGCTTAATAAATGGCATCTGCTAGTCTCCTTTGCTCTAGTTATCTAGAAAAACTAATACATATTGTAAGTAAATAACTAAATTAAAAAATACTTCCAAGTTAATGCCAGGTCTCTGTTCTTCAAGAGGAACCTGTAAAAGATCCCTGCTTTAAAAAGTTTTGCCTCACTTGACATTTAATTTCAAATTGTTTATCTTTAAGTCAGCAATAATTAGATGCTACGATCAGCTATTCATCATAAATTGCAGAATACATTTTCCCCAGAGGAGAAAGAGCTGTGCTCTGCATAGAGCAAGTCAAAGAAAACCAACACATTTGAGAGCAGATGTTTTAAAAATAAATATCCCTTGCTGGTCCCCTCATAAGGTGCCCCTGTACCATACAAAAGTAGGGCTGTATTAGCCAAATTCTAATAAATAGGCTTCAGTGCTTAGTCCTGTACTATCAGAGAAAATAGATAATCTGATATTAGATAATAATCACTTGTATTTCCACGAAAGAAACAGGTATTAATTTCTTAGTACATATTGTTCATGAAGCAGGCAAAGTTGTAGTTGGTGTATTCTACAACAGTGTTGAAAATAGTAGTGTGGTTACTTTTTTTAAATTAAAAACAATTTTTTTTTTAAGAGACAGGGTCTTACTATGCCACCCAGCCTGGTCTGGAACTCCTGAGCTCAAGCTGTCCTCCTGCTTCAGCCTCCCAAGTAGCTGAGACTACATATAGGCACCACCATGCCTGATTGTGCAGTCACTTTTGAATTGCATGGATTTGGATCTAAGCCAATTATATTACATCATTAACTCTGCCTAACAAAACAAATATGAAGTTAACCTGAGATGTATATTTTTAAAAAATGTGTATTTGTCACTATATCAACAGGTAAACTTAAATGAGCTAATAAAAAAATGTGTATTTGTCACTACATTGGCAGGTAAACTTAAAAGAGCTAACTTTGAAGAAACCACACAAAACCTGTATAGGAAAAAGTTGTCCGGAAAGGAAAGAGAAAGAAAGTATAACTTCAGGTACATAATTAAAGTGTAAATGTAAATGGAACTAGGTTTATATTAAGTATCATTATTTTAAGGTCATAAGAATAGAATTTAGAACAAAGAAGTGATCATTTTAATAAACTGGTTTGGCCTCAATTGGGGTTTGAGTGTTGTAATGAAGTCAGAATTCTTTTGATGGAAAACTACTTTGACTCCATCCTATGTTTAATGTTATATTAAGCTTTCATTATGCAGTTTATATATATATATATATATATATATATATATATGTTTTCCAAAAGTATGTAGTTAACTAAATTACTTTTAATGAATTTATCTACCTACAGAAAGTTGATCCACTAGAAGGCAATAATCTTATATGTTTACATTTTGAATAGATAGAATATTGAGATAAAACCATTATGCTTCTCTGAGGGTTTTGTGCATCTCAGTGGTAGCTCTTTCCATTTAAGAGTTGTGGCAGGATGTTACCAAAACTTTGCTCGTTAATTAAAACCTTCAGGTGAATGTAATCAGCAGCCCAAAAGAAAGTGAGAGGAAACCGCTGTTGCTGCTCCTGCTCTAAAAGCAGTGTTGATTTGTTTGAACAGGAGATATAATTTTATTTTACTTGGTTGTGTGAAAAGGTCCACTTTCTTCTAGAATCCTTTATTCAGGCAGTAGCATACAACCAACAAATTAGGTCACTGGGCAGTAGACTCCGAGGATGGTGGCTCAATTAAGACAATTTAATTAATGTGTAAAATGAGTTCGACATCCTTTCATATTTAGAAAGTTTTAAAAAATCACATCACTGCATTAGAGGAAGGTCCACTTTCAAGAGAAGCCAGGGAAAGATCAGTTATTATTTTTACTGAAACTAGATTACGATCATCTTAAAATTACATATTACAGTGACTTGGCGTTGACCAGAACATTCTTACTACAGAATACTATAGAATGACATTTAAATGATATACTAAAAGTAAGACAAGTTAGATATGTTTGAATCTAAAATACAAAGGGACATGAATGAAAAGGTAGTCAGCTGAACAAACTAGATCTGTGTTAATATAATAATCTCTCCCTTTCAAGATGTGTGCCATGAAAGTAAGTGACAACAGTGATTTAAAATACGTTTCTGAGTTGAAATACAGAAGCAAATGTGCTTCACAGAGTATTTATTTTATTGTTAGCTTGTCCCTGGAGGACTTTATTCCCACCCCCTTCCCCCAGTCTTAGAGCTTTGAAGTTTACAGATTCTGGATTCTGCTTCATGGTTTTTCTGGTCCCCTTGTTGTAATGTGCTGTATGCTGCACGCATCCATTCTAGAACACAATTTCCCTTCTAACTAAGGAACAAGATTTTGGTGAAGAATTCTTGCTAATTAAGACTCTTGCCAAACAATCTACAAATGGAAAGGAGTCTGGAGACCATGACCACTATTGGCAGCTTATGAAGTATTAGGTAATAAAGGAGCAATGATGAGAAGCAAGTGATGCTGACTCCTGCATTTTGTTAGATCTGATTCTGCATATATATTAATAATGATGCACCCTATGGATGCAATTTCATGTTTATAACACTTTGGCCATTGGCAGCATTGTGCACCTGTGTTTTCCATGCCTTCCCATCTGCTGCCTACAGCCATGCAGATTCAGGTGACAGAAATATTTTATATAAAAGTTAATTAGCCTGCACTCTACAGATCAAATCTCTGTAGTTCAGCTAGGAATCTTCTGCGCAACTGCTGAAAATGGCTTGGACTCACCCTTCCTAAGATTAAAAATGTAAGATTTATTTTTTCTAGAAAAAGAAATCTTTAGTATTCCCTTGACAATTTATGCACAGATTCTATCAAACTTTTCATTGTATATTGCCCTTACTTATTTTAGCTTTTATCTCTGGATATATATCAACCGTGGAACAAGATTCGAAATACATTTTTCCAGCTGCAAGAGTTGAGTGAAAATGATGTAAGTCAGAAATCCTCCAGGGTGTGGACTTATTTTACTAGTACACTGACCAGTGTTGATCAAGTCCGTGAACTTTTCTCAGTTTCTCAATCTTTAAAATGGGCCCATGCTAATTACCTATTTGCTTCATAAATACTTTGTGCAAGGCTTAACACAGCTTGAGATTATAATAAAGTAACATATAAAAGGCAGAGAACTCTTATTGCTGAAAGAATTCTGTCTTGTCCTTAAGTATTCATCTCCTCATTATTACTTGTCAACGTTAAGTTCACAAATAGCTCTTTCACTGAAAATATATTTAGCTTTTTTTTAATCGATAGGAAAATATATCATTTAATTCCTTTTTAAAAAATTCTTAGATGATGGGAGGAGAAATGGGCTTAACACAACTGAATACTAGCCTCTGAGTCCACTTTACATAGAAGGAAAATAGGGACAAAGAAACAAATAAATCTCCCCATCCGTCTTTACGCTTTTATATATTTCTAATGCTTTCCAATACCCAAGACTAATTGACTACTCTTCTTTACCTATCGCTGCTTCCGTACTAGGTGCTGATTTTCTGTTTATCCAAAGGAATTCAGAGCGATATGCTTTCTTCCTTACACCATTGCCTAAGGCTCAGGCACACCTTCCGAAGAAGTCAAAGAGAGCAAATGATTTCAGAGTTCCTTATGGGAGTGTGACACCTAGCAGGGAGTCAGCGTTACCCCACCCCCATTCCCTGCTCTCAACCTTCTTCAGAACCTTGACTGCTCTCCACGGTCCTGAACCTCGACTTCTACTTCCGTGGGGCACCTACTAGATTTTTCCCAGCTGGTCAAAATATGATTTTCTCTCGTATTCTCCCTACTTCTTTCCTTCCATCCGCGACCTCACTGCGCATTTTATTCCCATCCGCGCTTAAAATGTTTTATTCTACGTTTACTAAGGTCCTTCTACCTACCACCTACGAACATGAGCCCAATCGTTAAACAATATCAAAGTTATAAAGAAACAACTCCCTTCAGAATTTACGCCCCCCCCCTTCCATGCAATGGCCCCGGCCCCCAGCAGCGCCCATCTCCACTCCACGCACCAGATTCCTCTCACCTGACTCTCCCGCGGAAACTCGTGGCGCACGATGCTGATCACTGGAATGTGCAGGACTGAGCTGACCAAGTCGAGCTCCATCATCTCGCCCTGGCTCTGGGGGAAGGCGAGCAGCGCCGACACCCCTTGCACCACCACGGTATGGCAAACACTTTGCAGGAAGGAGAAAGGGTCACTGCTCCAAGGCGAGCTAGGGGAGGAGAAGGGCAAAAGCGGCAGATCGCCCAGGCCTGCCTCGATGGCCATCACTACTTCCAAAGACAGGTTGTAGGGCAGCAGCCCTTCCACGCGGTTCAGGTTGTCCACGGCGAATAGGAGGGCATCCCGTGGCCACAGGGTCTCCGCCCTGGAGCCCTCCCCGGGCTTACGGGCGCCCGGCGGCCCCCGGCCATGCAGGGTAGTTCCCAACCAGCGTGCGCCCGGCGAGGGCGCCAGGGGCCGCCTGGTCCCTGGATCCGGCTCATCCCGCTGGGTTCCTGCCCGGCTGCCGTCCGGACCGCGGCTAGCCGCGCGGGGGGCCGTGGTCCAGGGCTGCAAGTGCACCGCGCCCACCCTCACCGCGTGTCCGATGCGCTTGAGGATCTGGCAGGGCTGCGGGTGCGAGGAGGAGCCGGGCACCCCAGCCAGCACCAGTGCGCAGGGCGGCGGCAACAGCAGATAGACCCTGCTTAGCAGCCACCACAAACTCAGTCTCCTCATTACTGAGACCTCAGGGAGAAAGCGCGCCCCCTCCTGCGCCCGGCTCGCCCCTCTGCAGCCGCTGCCTGAGGTCTCCGCCTCCAGGTCCCGCGCGCAGCTTCACTCCACTCGGCTAAGCCGACCCAGGACTGGAGCGGTCTCTAAGCCATTCAAGTTGGAGCCTAGCGCGCTCCCGGCAGTCTCAGATCCGGCTCCCAGGTCCCTCCGCCGGGCATCCTCTGCCCCCCGGGTCACTGCGCGGAGCAGACAGGCAGGCGGGCCGGCGCCTGTCACCCGCGGCTGGGGCGCATGTTCTCTGCCCGCCCCATCTGCAGGGCGCCTCGGGCACTGCGTCCAGCCCCGCGAGGCGGCGGGGCTGAGAAGCAGCCGGAGTACCTCGGGGGCAGCGGTGACAGAGGAGCAACGCACTCTCGTTGGATTCTTTTCCTTTTCCTAGGCGGGATCCACTTATTTCCCGGGGTCGCGTTGGAGAGGGCGTTCACGCCCGGGGTGCGGAAAAGAAGCCAAATCCGCCTTGCTCCGCTGTTGGCCACCCTCCTGCAGGCTCCCCCAGTGCTGACTTCATTTTCTCTCTTCTCTCGCTACTTCCTCTGTCTTTCTTTGGTTATTTTTCCGCCGAGTCGCCAACGCGGCTTGCTTCCTCGGAGGAGCAACGCTACTGGCCAGCAAAGGGTGGCTCTGCTCCGAGCGCCAAAGTTCTCCCCGCCTCAGCCGGCGCCTCCCTGTTGCTGCGCCCTGGCGCCTGCCTGTCGCTTGGCTGCGCTAAACGCCCACTGTTGGTGAGATTCCCGAGTGGCTCATCCGGCGCCCCTGGAAAGTCTTCTCCCCTCTGGCTGGGAGTTGTAGTTTGCAAAATTCCCTGAGACCTAAGAAGGAAAAAAGGACTCTGAGCCGGTGAGAATTCTGAATTCGGAGTCGCACCGGAGGGATCTGAAATTCGGTAGTTCACTGAAATAGGTTCAAAGAGGCTGTGGCTTAACGAGCTTCTGGATGTGTTGCTTTTAAGATTTTTTAAAATTTATTTATTTTTATTTTATTTTATTTTATTTTATTTTTTAAGCTAACGACATTAAAGTAAGAATTATTTACACATTTTATCTCCTCAGCTTCTTTCTCTCTGGCATGTGGGCCTTTGCATTTTTTATTTAAGAATCCCTTTGTTTTTAGGTTCATTAAAGTGAATTCAAAGCAATTTTTTTAGTTCAATAAATTAAAGAGTTTCAAAATACTTTGAGTTTCAAGTGCAGTCAACAGCCGTTCCCAGTTTACACCAAGAGTCCTCAGATCACAGTTTCTATTAAGCTATTTCATTTGTATGGTAGTACAGTGAAGTCGATATATTTTGATCTAATCTTTTCCTCGATGATCTGAATAATCTGAAACTAGAAGGTAAAGAAAGAGTTAAGGGCAGGACTATGGTTTGCACATATACAGTAGATTGATTTTATTTTATACCACAGTATAAAATAAAGGGTGGGAGAGAGAAGAAGAGTGGGAGAGAGATATCCATGGGGTGGAGCTAGCATCGGGAATCAGCATTTCTGAGTCTAATACCACTTCAAAAGAACATGACTTTGGCAATTTATTTCACCCGACCTTGGTTCTGCTAAATTGTTATGTAAATACAGCTGGCTTTTAACTCTGGAGGGTTGTTTTGATTCGCGAGCTAAAGTTTCCACCATGCTTTAAATCCTGGGATGAAGAGACTCTAGTTAAGTAAAAATCCCAAGAAGGTTGCAAAGTGAATGCTGTTTTCCTCAGCCCAGATCTTTAAAGTTATCTCAGAACAAATTCACCAGACATTCAACATTGTTTTTCCAAGACTAAATTGCTAGAGAAGAAAAGTCTTCTATGAGAGAAAAGTGAAAATCATAGTAGGAGGCTGAATGAGGAAGGAAAGAGACCCTCCTGAAGCCTGAGAGAACATCCCAAGAATGGAGATAAGCTGTCTCTAGTGTGTTGGAAATTCCCCCTTCCAGAGGATTCCACTGATTGAGATATGAATAAGAAAAGTGTAGAAGTCTGGGGTCCTTGCATTGCAGGAAGATTGGATATCTACTAATTGTATAGTAAAGAGGTGTATTTGTCAGTACTTGAGTATGTGTTTTGAAGAGTAAAATGTAAAGAGTATGATGGTACTCTTAGTCCTTGGCATTATACATATGTTCAGATCAGGTTCCCAAGAAAACACATGATGAGGGAGAATAGTTTGATCTCATCATTAAAAGCATCCTAAGATCACTGTATATGCATTAGGTTTTTCACAAGTTCATGACTGCCTCAAGGGAATGAATAACTGAACTGTTCATACACAGAAGAGGTGATTCCCGACTTTCTGAAGATGATGCTGTGCCAGGTGGTGATAGACCCCTAGTTAAATCTGGTGAAATTGAGTCAACAGTGAAGAATGGCTTTCCCTTCTTGTGTTTTGTTTCTTTTCAAGCTTTTCTGTTATAATTCACTGGTGTCCTTCCTGTTTTCCTTTTGCTGCTTGTTTTTCTCTATCCATATCACCCTGGGCTGAGTGTATCTGACAAGAGTGTTCCCTCTCCTCTCCCTGAATCTTCTTTTTCCTTTTCTTTTTCTCCTTCTTCTCCACTTTTGCATATGTCAAAGGTCATCTTTTTCAAAGCTCATTTAAGTTCAACACCAATTATTAAGCTCCTAATATATCTCAGGCATTGTTGTAGGACCATCCTGGAAACAGATGAATAAACTCTAGAAAAGTTGAGTTTTCCCCTTTCCACAACATGGCATAGTCAATAAGTGAACCAAATGCTAACATAGAGCTTATATTCGAGTGGGAAAGAGACAGTAAAACATACAAATAAGTAAATAAATGCAGGATATGTTAGTTGGTGCAAAGGAGAGAAAGAAAGCAGTGTAGATGAAGTATTAGGAGGATGGGTTATAATTTTAGATGAGAAAGCCAGGGAAGACCTCTCTGAGAAGACAGCTTTTGAATAAAGATGTAAAGGGACGTAAGGGAGTGATCCATGTGAATACTCTAGGCAAGAATTTCCAAGCAGGGGAAGCTAAATGCCAAGGCTCTGAGTGTTTCTGGAAGGTTTAAGGAATAATGAGGGGTCTGGAGCAGATGGAACAAAATATTCCGGGATGAAAGTGGTGGTAGGTCAGGTCAGAGAGGCAATGAAGAGGTGGCAGATAATGTAAGCCAATTAAGAACGTTGGCTTCTACTGTGAATGAGGTGAGAAGTCATGAGGGCAGGGGCATTGAGCAGAAGGGTGATAGACCTAATACTGTAACAGGATTGCTACAGCTGTTTTGCTGCTAATAGCTGAAAGATGGATAAGAGTGAAAATCAGAAGAGGAGAAAAGGAGATGAGGCTATTGCAATAGGCCACGTGAAAATTAACATTACCGTCAAATCATAAAAATCAACCTCATTAGGTTTGTGTAATCATTCCCATTCTAAAGAAGAGGATATTGAATTTCAGACAGGTTGAGTTATTTGCACGAAATCATCATATACTGACTGGCATTATGGCTTCAATAGTTTAAGTGTCTCCCAGCTGCGTGATTGGTAACAAAAATCAGTCGAATTTCAAAATTGGCTCACTCAGAGATTAAGCTTTTTAAAAAATATAATCTGATTCAAAATGAGAACTACTGATCTAAGAACCCATGTTGGAGAGTCAAACAATTCACAACAAATCCAAATGCTCACAATTTAACATGTGCTTTTGTCCACATCTGTGCTTCCTGGTACCAGCAATGGGTGGACTAAAAGCTGAGGTATATTGCTGTGGCGGTAGCCCAGGAAAGGCTACAGTAAAGGATACTGTGGGGATTAGGAGTTAGATTCTCTTCTCAGTATTATTTTTCCTATGCGTATGACATTTAACCTCTCACACCTGAAGTCCTCTTCTGTACTGTGGTTGTGGTGACAGCTCTTGGCAGTTATCTACATAGATGTGACAGTATGCAGCCTCCTGTGAACGTTTTCAAGTTCCATGGGAATGGGAGGCTTCTGGTGAGTCTGGAAAAGTAACTTGTGTTTTTTTCCTATAGCTTGACTTATTACAAGTTGTATTCACATCTATCTTCGTTTTTGTAAATGGCCATAATATTAATGGCATGTCCCAAATTCTGGGTCAGCCTTTTTTAACAATAGTGATTATGTAGATTTTATCAATATTCAGATGAAAAATGTGTTCTCCCCTAGCTAGTGCATACCCATATTCTCAAATTATGCTGTCTTTCACATTGACTCCTTTGTTTCTATTGCCAATGACCTTGTTTTCATGTGAATCCTTTGGATAAAAGCAAACAAAAAAATACGTGGAGCTCTTAGAGAATCTATGGTAGTGGACTTTTAGGAGGGAATGAATCTAGTAAAACTTAGATCAGTTTAGAGGAGCAGACCCTGAGGGGTCGTCTATCCAAAATCTAATTATTTTTTTCATTCCCCCAATTAAAAATAAGCCTACATTCACTCAATACTTTGTAACACTATGCTACATTCTACTAATTAGGCATTAATTTTGGCAACAATCATTCACTTTTAAAAATGCAAATAACTCTCATGGTTATGGGACTATCAATCACAGATTAGTATAAATTATTTTATCCTGATTGGTGTAAGATTAATATCCTGTTGGGATTTTGGGGGAAAGAGAAGGGAAAGAAGTTTATTTTGCATTATAAAAGATTTGGGGAACATGAAAGATCTTAGGGAAGAATTTCAGAAGATGTGCCAAAAATCTTCATTACTTTAGAGTTTTTATTTTGAGTAACTTCTACATGCCAGGCACATTGCATACAGGATCCAGGTGGAACTTCCCTCAGTAATTTTTAGGCAGCCTGAGAAACTGGAAACAGGAGAAATGCGACCTTAGAAACTACGGAAATGGAGTGACAGAGAGGAAGCAAAAATCTAGTCTGTCTTGTCCAATTCAAAATACTGCTGTGCTTTGACTTTATGCTGGAAAATACAAAGGAAACTGTCTTGTCTTTTGCATCACATAATCCCCTATACCCAGGAAGCCAAATTCAGGCCAGGGCTATTACCTATCTGTAAGTTAGGAACTGCGAATAGTTGTTTACCTTTTAGCTATGAAAAAGCACATTATGGTATCTTTAATCTACTTATTGTCAGGGGAGTCAGTCATCAGTTGTGACAAGTGCTTGGACTTTTCAATATCCACCAGGATTATTAGCTGAGTGTTTGCATTTCCTGATTTCCTTTCTAAATCATATTCTAAAGGCAACTCAAATAGGGATTGGAGAAGCTAATATGGCAGTCTCTCTCAATCACTCTCTTTTTGTGTGTGTGATAATCATTCCATTTTAGTGTTTATCTAAATGAGCTATGGAATAATACTTGGGCCATCATAGACTAGGACATTTTTAAGGACTTTTTTTTTTTGTGCTTAATTTGCAGTGCTAGTTTTATCACTGCA